GTAGCTCGTGCTGAGGACACATTTCTGCCTTTGCTGCCTCTGCTCTATGGCCACTCCTGGGTCAGGCTCTGGGAATAAGTTGGCCATTCTCCTTATCTAACCTTTCCTGATTGCCCTGTCCAAGATGCATGTTTGTGCAATCAGCTAATACTCCTGAAAAAGGTTGAGGGGAACAAGCAACATCATTGAGGCTGTTCCCAACTGTCAGCTGAGCTGATGGTATTAAGCAAAATGGAGCCCTGTGAAACCACTGCAGTATTTTGAAAAAGAGATAACTAAGGGTTTTTCTGTAGTATTTCTGTATGATAGAAGTTTTTGAAAGAGTAGCAGATAACTTCCTAGTCAGTCCTTTTTCCCCTAGTCTTGTTCATCGTTTGCTGAGAGTATGACTACTTACACTTTTGGCAACTTTTATCACACGGGCTACTGAGTCACTCAGGAAAATGGCACACTACATTACTTTTTGCAGCTAAGCAAATAACTTGCGTAGAAGAATAGGTTTTTGTAATATCCCAGTACTAACATGCCAAATAATGGGAGATTCTGGCCTGTCCCTGACAAGCAGTTGCTCCTACCAGATATCCTCTGTGTTGAGTATTTGCACTCTCCTTTTTCTGCCATTGACTTCCAGCCATCAGACCTCAGTTTGCTTTTCTCAGCTAGATTAAAGAGCTTTGTAACTCTCTTCTGACTTTTCCATGCACAGCTTCTTACAGACCACCAAGTTGTCTTTTAATCTTGCCTTGAAAAAACTAAACAGAATTGAACCCCTTTCAATGTTTGTGCTATTGAAGGTATTAATGAAGGATGATCTGACTTTTAGGAGGAACGTATGTGTGTAGCAGATATCCACGGCGATTGGCACCTATGTAAACACCCGGGTTGACAGCTCCAGTAAACATTCTCTTAAAGAGCTGTGGCAGGTCCATCCATCACACTACCTATATACACAGTACTGTCAAATGTGTAAAGTAAACAAACAGGGGCCAAAAAAGAGGTGATGAAAGAAATAATGCTTTTCTCTAATGCCTTTTTGTTTTAAGAGCCTCTTGGGTTTCTCATCATTTTAATAAATACATAACTTTAAGATAATTTTTAAGTGGACCATGTCATTTGAAGTGGTCTGCTGACAGATGTGTAGCAAATCAGTGAGAGAGGAAAGAGGGAAATCCAGTTTGCAGATTCTTTGTTCACTTTAGGAGCCACTAGTTTCTTACTCCTTTTTTTTTTTTTCCTTCATCCTTTGTAATGCAGTGTTTTGTTGTGTCCAATTGCAGGAGCCATACGGAAAAAATTATCCCATTATTTTCTCAGGGAAAGAGGGAAAACAAGCCTCAGAGAGAAACAAGCACACAACCTTCACATTGCTGGCACACTGCCAAGCCCAAGGGCTGCACTTAATTTACATATAAATGTGCCCAGGATTTTAATCAGCAACTAATGCACTCTGTTGTTATTTTTCACTTACAGTGTTCGCAGTGCATGTGGTGTCTGGTGAATTGTGTAGGGCATATGCACTTGGAGGAATGCAGTGACAAGCATATCGGTGGCACCGCTTTTTGGATTGATGGCTAGCTTCTTTTCTGAGGCTGCCTGAGGTAGTGCTGGCTCCAGCCCTTCAGGGATTCTGCAAAATCTGACCAAGGGCAACATAAAGAGCTGGCTCAAGGGACTGCTTGGTTGGTTTTCAGCTGTCTAATGTAGAAATGCAGTAGTGCCTCTGTTCTGTAACATGCCAGTGGATGGGAACACCTGTTTTTTCTGTCCTGTTCAGAACTGTGTGTGCAAAATCTTGGAGCATTTTAGTTTTTAGCCACTTCAGAATTTTCAGGATTTCTGCTGGTTTTTCTTTTTAATTCTTGATTTGTTTAGCTCAGGTGTCATTACTTTGTTCATGTTTCTCTTCTAATTAGCAGGCAGATGAAAAGAGTGCACCACAAATGCTGTCCAAGAAAAGCCTTAGGGCTGGTCCCAAAGGCCTCTTCTCCCTTCTGCTCTCCTGATCCTGAAAATAAAATTTTGTCTTTCCGTAGTATCTGTTAATATTTATAAGCTTTGAAGTAAGTGATGTGTTTTCTTAATTTGTTGTGATCTTATCTAAATTTATTGTGATCCTATCCCATCTTATCCCAAAGGGTATTCCCACCCTTTCCCATCCTTGCACTCAGCTAAAGTGAGTGAGAACCTACCTGTGGATTCCCAGGGACTTTTTTGCAGCTCCTGATGCCAGCTCTATCAGCCTCTTCGCATTCATGCTCTAGCAGTGAAGAAGCAGTGCTGATGATCAAGTGTCATCATTAGTCTTAAGGGGAAACAGCTCATATGAAGATGACATTTGATATCCATGTGGAAAGTGTCAACCACACCTACGTGGAGAGATTGGTTAAATATTTGGGCAGCATGTGTATTCTTGTGGTTACTAGCTTTATACCCATATGTGGGTATACAGCAAGGAGGCATATTGTGCAGAACATTCAAGAGCATGATGGAAGGTGTTCCCAGGGTGATGGAAAGGTTTCCATGTGGAAAACCTTAACGGGAACAAAAGCCTTATTATTTATCAGGCTGCTGTGTGGTGTTGACAGGTGAAATGACAAGACTTATTGAGGAAAAGGAATTCATTTATATCTAGGACCTTTTAATAAACCTAAAGTAAAAAGAAGAACCAGTGTAGCATACCTGTTGGTAGTTGCTAATGCTTGTTCAATGATCCTTTCCTTCTGAAGTACAGAAATGAGTAGTAACTCTTGTCAGGAGTTATAAAATGAAGGAGTGACTCAGAAGAAGGATTTATTATCACCTCAGTATAAGTGAAATTCAGCTTTATAAACACAGTTTAATCTGCTAAAACTTTCTGTGCTCTCTCTTGGGGAAAACCCTAGTTATTTCAAATTTTGCTTAAAGATCTAAAATAATTCATCTTGTCTTCTGAATAAATCATCATTTCTAAGATCACTAGCATTCATCCTCTTTACCTGGTTCTTGATCATGTGGATTTTATTTTATTTATTTATTTCCATGGGGTGTCATTTGTTATGGGCTCTTCTCATCCCTGCGATATAATTTCTCTTATGGACTTGTAGGCCTTTTCATCGCGGTTCACTACATATTTCACTCATGTTTCTACAGAAACTCATTACATAGCACAGGCTGCTGCTGACAAGAATATTTAGAATACACTCTGCTTTTGTCCTCCAGTGCTGCACTGCTACCATCATTGGGTGAATAATAAATCTGAGACAGAAAGACATGGATCTGAGGTTACTAGAAAAAGACCTAAGCCCATACATGACCAGAATCAGTACTGCTCCTTTCCCCTTCCTCTCTTACATGCCTGATCAAACTAGCATTTAAAGACATAATTAAGAAATCCAAAACTTGAAAAAGTTATAAAAATTTCTAAAAAAATGTATCCTGTAAGGCAGGGACAAATGCATGCCACATCTCTGTAACTGTGTGGTGGGTTCTGTGCTGCCTTTAAAAGTTTTCTAACACTTCAAGCTGTCATGGACATAGTGCAATCTGATCCTTAAAAAACCAACATCCAAAAAGACACACAACTCCCTTATTAGCGCTGACGTTAGAGCACTTCTGTCCTTAATGATTAACTGAACATTTTGTTCTAAGTAGCATCAAACACATCTGAGACTAAATTTCTTGTTTTCCTGTTTCTCTCTGCAATTTCTCTGTCATTTTCCACCTACTGTTGACATGACTTTATGGTCTGCAACCTGTCCTTTTGAGTATTTCTCAAGCTTGACATCCACTGCAATAATGTGTCTCTCAAGGTCTAATAATGCTGTATTAGGAGAGGAAAATGTTCTTGATGTATGTGTCACAGAAGTAGTGGGAAAATGCATTTTCTTGTTCTGTGCTGGCTGATATGTGGTACTGGTGTATTTGGTCCTCTGTGCATTTGTGTTCAGTGCTTAAAGCAGTGAAGGTTTGGACTACACCAATATGAGCAGGTCTTACAGTGGCAGGAAGACTTTCTGATTTATCATAGGATCAGAATGGTTTGGGTTGGAAGGGACCTGAAAGGTCCTCTGGTTCCAACCAGACACAAACCAGGTGTTCATGTCAGGTGGAGGATGGATTTCTGTATCAGGCAGAAATGAGGTGGGTGGAAGCCCTTCATGTCAGGAACTCTGCAGGCACAGGGGTGGTTCTTGGACCCCTCTCTGTGGCTCTGTTATACACAAGCACACTTTCTCTTGTGGTTTCTTAGGACCAGGTAGGAAACCACCTGATAAACATGTATACGTAATATAAACATATACATGTAATGAATATATGTGTGTGTGTATATATATACGTAATGTATATATGCAACATATATATATGTAATATTTTCTTACACCAGTAGGTAAAGTGGCTAAGCTCTTCCTTCCCCTGTGATAAAAGAGGATATGCTCACTGTCTAAGGGCCAAGGTGTCTAAGGGCTACTGTGTGAGCTTTTGATTGCTTGTTATCCAGGATTTTAGCGTTGTGCAATGAGAAATCTCATTATTAAATTTACCATCTGTGTTTTGAACTTGAAAGATTTATTTTAAACTTCCACCTAGGTTTTCTTGTTTAGCAAAGGCATAGACAGGAGCTTGAAAAGAAAAGCCACTTTTTTTGTGCAATTAATTGTCAATAGTTGTATCTCTCCCTACCAAGGTTTATACAAGTTTGCATCACAAGCAGAAAATGATGGTGTTTCTTCTGTTACTCTGCCAGCTGCACTTCTAGCAAAGAATTGGTGTTAGGACATGTATGAAGAGCTATCTTTTTACCTTCTCTCCCTCAATATCTTGAGACAAAGTATTTGAGCTGTGTTCACAAAAGCATTCGTGAGCTCAAGTTTCTGTTTTCATTTTTTCCACAACTTGAATTTTTCTAAGGGTGATGCTTTTTTTATATGCTGAATACACTTCTGTAGCACAGGCAAATCAAAAGAGATATGATATTTCATTGATTCTGTTCCTGACATCCTCTGCTTGCTGTTTTTCTGCAGGAGTTATCTACACAGCAGATATTCTTGACCGGGAGACAACCAAATCCTACTGGTTGACAGTGTATGCGACTGATCATGGTGTTGTCCCACTCTACACTACCATTGAAGTCTACACTGAAGTGGAGGACGTGAATGACAATGCCCCTCTCACCTCTGAGCCTATCTATTACCCAGTCGTCATGGAAAACTCCCCAAAGGATGTATCTGTCATTCAGATCCAAGCCCAGGACCCTGACTCCAGCACTGATGAAAAACTGACTTACCGGATTACAAGTGGAAATCCCCAGAACTTCTTTGTGATCAATCCCAAAACAGGTAACAAAATCCTGCTGCCTCAGGGTGGTGGAAAATGCAATTTACATATTTATCAGCTTGCTCCCCTTCAGGATCCACTGGTTTTGCGTTGCTTTCCAGACCTCTGTTTTCTGGTTGCGTTATGTGACTAAAGCATCTTGTATGTGTGTAAAGCATTCTCTTTTGCATTGGTACCTGAAAGCACTGGCAGGTGATGTGTTGCAGATGCACTGCTGCAGCAATTGCTCTTTCCGTGGGTCACTGGCTGTTGCCTCTTCCCTGCACCTGTAGGGATGAGACTTTTCTACACTGAGTCTGCAGAGCAGTGCTAGGAAGCAGATCCAAGCTGCTGCAGGTTACAGAGCAGTTTTTCTTCCTTTATAAGCTGTTGCAGCACTGTTGAAGTGAGTGGCATGATAGCTGTCCAGCACATGTAATTAGGCTCTGCATTACAGTAGCTGAATGTAATTCTACAGCTTGTTTTATACAAAAAGACAGTTTAGATGACCTAAAAGTCCCTCTGGCCTTAAAAAAAAAAAATAATCTATGTGTTTGCATTGATTTGTAACAGCTGGGGATGTAGCCTGTGGGTGCAGTGTTGCAGATATGGTGATTGTTTTAAGTTAAAGTACTGTTGTTGCCTGGCAGTGGAGCATCACGCCTGTGCAGACCAGCTCTGCACATCTGTGCCCTTGGTTCATTTGCTAAACAAGGCTGTTAAAGAAATCGCCTCAGAAGATGTAACCTGAGGTTGTGGGTGCTCTGCTGGGTGCCTACCTGTGCCTGGCAGCAGGTGTTTCTCGCTCCAGCATGTACCCAGCTGTTTCTCACTTACTGAGCTGGTGGGGACCCTCCAGCATGGTCTGGAGCTAGAGACTCAAGGGGATCTTTCACAGCAGTATGCTGATCTTTATGAAAGTAGTTCAGATGATTAACACAGTGCTCCAACTGGTTGTCATGCTCCTAGTTTTGATCTGGGGTTTTGATTTTTTTTTTAAAGTTTATTTATATCTGCTGCAAATTTCTAAGCATCTAGAAAACCAGAAGGAATAGACCTGAGAGGGAACATTTTTAATTTCATGTAGGGAAATGATTTTCACTAAGTAGATTTTCCACATTTGGCTGGGCAATCCTATTGCAATGTGTGGCATTAGAAGGGGTCAGGATATTCTCAGGCATAAGCCCAGGTGAAGAATTATGGAGCACGTATAATCACTGTGTTCAATCTGCCGAGCCCTAAGGCACATATCTCACTTATTTTTAACACTTGGAATGGCCGAAGATGCTCTTCCATCTGCACCCCTTCTCCCCCTCCCCACCCCATAAATCCCATCTGGGCAAAGTAGCATAGTTAAGACTCACAGTGTTTAATGCTTGTGCTTCTCTTCCATCGGCTCCTCCCACAGAGCAATCTGCTCAGCACAGCTCTGCTTATCCACGTGGCAGGCAGGGTGAGCCCATGACAAGGACCGGAGCTGGGCACGCTGCAGCCCTGCAGCACCCTAGCCTGGTGGCACACCCTGTGGGTTGGCTCTCTGTCCCTCTGGAGAGCAGCAGGGATGCTTTTCCTTAACAAAGAGATCTTCATTCTCACAGTTACCACTGAAGATAGTTAATCTTCATTTGCACTGTGGAAATTGCTGTCTGAGAACTTAAATGCTTCAGGATGAGGAACTTGCTGCTTAGTCAACTCCTGAAGGGCCCCCCTTGCACTAGGTGAGCATCCTGGCTGGTGACTGTGATTTGTCATGGAGGGGATAAACCATTCCCTTCTATCCAATTCGATGCCAAACAGGGAGCAATGAGCACTGAGCAAGGTGGACTCTTTGAGTGTGTTTTTGCCTTTGAAAATGAGCCTGACAGAGAGTATGTGTGCACACAGAGATGCCTTGTCTCAAAGGGAAGCACCAGGACCTTAACATTAGGAGGCTTTCTCCTGATGGGATGTTGATGTCCGAAGGAAAAAGCGTAATGGATTTTCCTAGAGACTGCCCCTGGGGATCTCTGCCCAGGCTCCTTTCAGCCATCTCCCTGCAGTTGCACTAGTTCCTCTAAGACAATAATTTCCACTCCAATTGTTTTGTACAGGAGACTGCTGCACACATGGGAGAGGCTCATAGTATGCCAGACCCGTACACTTGCTGGGATTCAGCACAGCAGTAACTCATGTAGAGCGTTGCACAGCAGCACTAAATGCGACAGCACACTGTATAATTAAGATGAAAAGGTTTAACATGAACCCAAATATGCTGCGATTGCTGTGTACGTAGGCTGAACGAGCACGCTCCTGCTGTCGGGGGAGAAGAGTCATTTGAGAAAGGGGATCTTTTATTTTCTGTGTCACTTTGGAAGTTTAAACACTGCCAGCAAAATGACATCTCACTCCTGTGAGTAATCCATTGCCGAGAGGCAACAGGAAAGCAGAATCCTGCAATTTTTACGTCCTTTGGTGGGAAGCGGCAGAAGTTGTTCTTGACTAGAGACAGGGAGTTTGCTGGAGCATAGGGATGTTCTCAATTGTCTCTGGAGCTCAGCAGTGACTGTGTTTGCCTTCCTCTGGAAGCTGCCTTATATATATCATACAGTCGATGCAGGTTTCTGGAGGCACGTGTACCACTGCATGTGTTGGCATCTGATCAAGGCATCAAGTGGGGACATAGGGAGTCCACGTTTTGTTCCCTGTTCTGATACAGGATCATAATCATAGCCAAATCTTACACTCTTGATTGATTATCTGGATCGCAGAAGCAACAGTACTCCTTGTATGTCATGTCTGTATGTAGAAGAAACTTCTTAGTAGACAACTTGCCACTTCCTACATTTTTATAGACTGGCACAGCTCGCGGTGGCTTTTTTTAGGTAGTCAAACTGCAAATGTGTCACGTGCATTTGGATCTGTTTGAAGGCAGTCCTCAGACCTGTCATTATTATTACCTGCAATTTGCTCTGTGCATTTGAGAGAGAGGAAGAGTTGCTCCTGCAGGAGTGAAGGGCTACTAAAATGCCTCTGGTAGGAAGACTTAGGCACCAAAGTCACCCTGGGCAGCTCATGCTCTCACTGGGGGCTGACTGTGCTTCAGGAGCACAGGTACAAGTGGGCAGCAGGGGGTCTCCTCTTCAGGCTTGTGGTTTATTTGGGTGCTCTGAGGAGGAGGACTGGAACATGAGCCACCCTCCCGTGTGCCACTGGCTTTGTATGGAAAGGCTGTGTGGGCAACCTCCCATGAAGGCTTTTTTTTTCTCACCTTGATATTTTTTTAAAAATACAGCCAAGCATCAGTTTGCGCCTCAGTCTGCACTTTTATCTCATGAGCTGATATTCATAGGTACAAGTATTAAGTGAATAATGTAGCACATGAGTACGTGTGAAACCATAAATCATTCATGCTGGAGAACAAGGCAGCCTTGTTCTGCAAACTGGTGGAGACTGCCCTAAGTATAGCAGGTCCAAGAGCAAACTGGGATTTTTCTTTATAATGGGCAAGAGGAATATATTGCAAAGCACAGTTCTGTGAGAGGGGTAAGAAAGATGTTTTTCAAATAGCTGAGATAACTCTAGGGGTTACATGACTACAGAGAAGGCATTCCTCTGTGCTTTTGTTTCCCAGCTCTGTGTACACACGGCAGCAGTGGATGCATTCCTGGAGCTCAGCATCTTCAGCAGCTGGGTGTCAGCCTAAACCCTGGTGTGGCTGCTGTGAGAGCCAGGGGTTTCCCTCTTAGCTTGCCTTTTGTGCTTGGAAGGGTTTAGGGTTGCTTTGACAGAGCACAGTGTGACAGGGCTGTGCTGCTTTGTGGGCAGTGTGAGATGGGGCCGAGGAGGAGGAAGGCAGAGCTGCTGGCAGAGCAGCTGGGCTGGCCAGATCCCAGGAGTGCCACAGGGGGCCAGAGCCAAGTGAGTTATTCTGTGGTGAGAGGCATGTAGAAAAACGTAAATAAAACAGAGGATAGAGTTAATAAAAAATTTGATTGATTAGAGCTGTAAATTTTTATTTTTATTTCATGTATATGGGTGTTAATTTCATGGCACAGGGGTAATTTATTGCATTGATTTATTATGTTTCTGTGTTCTGAAGAAAACAATGAACTTTAATTCAAACCATTACATTATTTTGTTTAGTGTTAACATATTTGGAACAAACCCAGTAAGCTTCTCTTCAGTCTTACGTAAATTCCTTAAGAGATACTTTAACTAACATGCCAACAGACCAAATTTCACTCTTCTGCACATTGTTATTAATTAATTTATTCTAAACTCATGCTTGTGTGTCGGGAAAATTCGGTTACACCTTGCTTAGCCTCTTGCTGTCATCATTTAAACAGAGACAGACCCCTGACACCTCTGAAACAGTATTTGCTATAGTATATAAGGCAGGATGCACTAGTGGGTTTAGAAATAGTGCATGTAGGTCAGTACATCTTTCCAGAGCAGCAAGTACTCTGCCTCTGGAAGTTGTCTCTGAACTGTCGCATCTTCACCTAGATTTGGAAAGAGACTCGATATTTTCATGCTGAAGTAGTATTAATATTTATATAAGCTAATATGGGGTTAGTGAATGTCAGAATTTAATTTTTATTAATACTGCTTTTCTCAGTAGGCTGAGATTTGCTTTCTTTTGCACTCACAAAGCCACGTGGCCAAGGATCCTGGCTGAATGCCATGTTTTCCATGCCATACTAAAATGGTGCTTCACCCTCCTGCCATACATCCTGATTTTTATGGATGCTTTTGTTTGGTTTGTCCCCAGAAATCCCCACACGTCTTTGCTCTCACATGCTGAGTCAAATCCAGTGGTGTGCTGCTGCAGTGTGTTCTGGTGGCTGCCAACAGCATAGCTTCTGGGTGCCCAGGGCCTCTTTTCAGCCCAGAAGAAACAGAATCTTAGATTGATGTGGGTTGGAAGGGACCTTAAAAATCATCTAATCCAACCCCCCTGCCATGGGCAGGGACACCTTCCACTAGACCAGGTTGCCTTGAACACTTCGAGGGATGGGGCATCCACCCCTTCTCTGGGTGACCT